GGATCAACAAAATCATTTATTAAAAAAATTTGGATTTGCAAATATTGCAGTAAATGTTTATCAGTACATTTCGCAAATCCAAATTTTTTTTAATGAATGATTTTGTTGATCCAATTTCTAACAATATTTAAAATAATTTGTATCTAATAAAAAATAAATAAAAATAAAAAAAGAAAAAAATACTGTAAATAAAAACAAAACAAAAATTAAGTTTTATATTAATAAAATAATTTAAATATTAAATTCCATTAAATAGATATGTTTATTCAACTTCTATAGATATAATAATATACTAATAATTAAAAGAATCAAATCATTTAATTTTCTAATAATATTTAAAATAGAGTGAATTTATTTACCGCACCCTGCGTTACAATGCATCCTTCCTTTTTTATAAATTGTTTATGTCGATCTTTAGTTTATACACCGCACCCCCCTTAAAATGGCAAATGATAAACATACAAATATATATAAATTTGTAACGCAGGGTGCGGTAAATACATTATTTCTTTAGAATAATAAATTATATCTAATTAAAAAAAAAGAATAAAACTAAAATAAAATCAATGACCTATTAATAAAATAATTTTTCAATTGCTAAATTGCATATGTAATGTACTAATATAATAATTAAAAAATCTAATTTTTTGACAATTTTTAAAATAATTTGTATCTAATAATAAAAAAAATATTTTAATTAATAAAATAATTTTAAATACCAAATTACATTAAATACCAATATGTTTATGTAACTTTCACATATATTTAATTTACTACTAAATACTAGATAGGTATATTTATATCCCAGTAAATAGTCATCATTTATAATTTATATTGTATTCATTTGGAATTTATGTATATTGTTAATTTTATATACTAAATTTGAGCCACTTAATAAAATTTAAAAAAATTATTTTTTAATAATGTACTAAACTTGTACTATTTGCTTGGTTTTGTACTAATTATGTATTTTTAATCATATTCTAAATTTGTGTTAATCACTCAATTTTATACTCGTAATATGCTAAATTTGTACTAGTTGCTTAGTTTTATACTAGTTTTATATCTATATTCGTATTAATTACACATTTTGAATTTTTTTTGAACCATATACTAAATTTGTACTAGTTATGGTTTTTTTTAATTATATACTAAATTCGTACTAATTTGGCAGTATTTCTTCATGTAACATTTAACATTTATTCTTTTTCTGAAATATATAAGTGCTCTTATCTGGATTATCGACCTTATCAATAATATAGTAAAAATTTACTACTACTAAAAATCCTACGTAACGATCAAACACATTAAACATTTTTGAAATTGCATATCACGTGTATGTGTATCACGTGAAATATTATTATTAATACTGATCTCCGATCTCTTTTTTAAACTTTTTTTTTTTAGGAGGCTCCCCAAAAAAAAACTCTTTCCCCTTTTATGAATTTTCGTTAGTTTTCCGCAGCAATTTTGCATAAGTTTCATTTTTTCGTTTCTATCCAAAACACCAAAGGGGGAGAGGCCTATACAGGCACCTCTGTCTTATACGAGGTTTTTGGTTCTTATTATACCCTATATTATATGAAATATGTCTTCTACACCTTTTATTGAAATAGACTGGTCTTCCGCTTCACAACATTCTTATCCTCAACTTGGTGACTTTATACTGCCTGAAAACGACTCAGCCATAATATTACATAACACTGAGCGGTCAACAGTACTTTCCGCTAAGGATATTCTTTCCCTTGATATTGATGATATTTATCCTTATATGTACTCAACTCTTCACTTCAAAGACAATGACTTGGAAGAAACCTATAATGAAAACGAAGATGACTATTTTCAAGAACTACTAAATACTGCACTAAACGCTGAAATACAAGAAGTCAGCCATGGAGGAAATGATATACCTCCAGTTTACGACACTCCTTTAACTCCTATACAGGACAACATTCCTTTACCACTACTGGATACTACGCCTCCCTCAGATAATTTACCCACAATTTTAACTCCTATACAGGACAATATTCCTTTACCACCACTGGATACTGCGCCTACCTCAGAAAATTTACGCACAAATGAGAAAAAAAATACTTTGCTGGTCTCCCTGAAAAAATTTCACGTGACTATGCCAAAACGTTCCGGTTATAACAAGATTTACGAAATTCGCCGCTCTAGGAGTTTCTTTTTTGAGCTTGCTGATCATAATCAAAACACCAATGAAATTCATTTGAAGATACACACGAATGATTATCATATGAAAACTAAACCGATTAGTTATAATAACACAAGTTCGTTCCCCAATGACAAATATCAAATCAGCTGCATGATTACGCATTTTTTTGCCTCACAAAGAGTTATTCCACGTCGAATACAAGACAAATATTTTAATTTTTTACGCAACAAATTAATGGATAGAATTAAAATAATTAGATCACGTGCTAGTAGTACTACCAATCGAAATTATTCTACTAAAACATTTTTTAACTTTACTTATAAGAAACATCGCTTTCACTTTGGCATTTATATACCTTGACCCTTATTAATAACCCTGAACATTTTCATAAGGACACACAATGTGGTATTCCTACTCCTTTCGTCATGTCACATCATAGACACGCATGCGTTATACATCAACGCACCTTTTCACAAAATCATTGTTTTAAAAATATCAAAAAGAAACCTTTACCTAAATCGGACGATATACCAACGGATTTCATCAATACTAAATCATCTTACGCCAATTTATTATATTACAGATGGCTTAATGGTAAATCAAAACGTATTACCTCTAGACGACTGGGTATTTCGTATAACAGCGATATTCACGCTAGAGATCTCTCTACAACATTCAAAAAAGGCAACAGACATATGTATCGAAAATGTCTGACCAAGTTCCAACGTGATTTGTCTCCTAATTTACGGACACAAAAGCAACAAGATATACGTTTCAAGCGCACTTGCCGTCGTGTATTTAATAAAATGCGTTTACCGCCTGATCGTAAGGCTACTAATCAGGACTATTTAGCGATAGCACGCAAATATCGCTTTGTATTCATGAAAAACCAAAAAGTCAAAATACCTATTCGACATTTATCATACAAACAATGTGATTCAATCCCGAACGCTGACGACTATTCGTTCTTGGTTCCTTACTTCGCTACGGATTTCAACCATAAACAACAAATCATGACGAAACTCACTCAAGCATCATCATCTACTGGCCCTTCTGCACCACCTGAGAATTACAATCCAATTCCGGATGTGTTTATTCCTAAAAAATATCATGATATTATACCTAAAGACCCGATTTATATGAATAATCGTTATGTGGTTCCTGGATCTAGAGAATGGTTTACTTATATGTATAACGTTGATGAATCTTATTATCCACCAGAGAGTAGTACCCCACGTTACAACGCTAAAGGGAAATATGTAGCCAGAACTCCAGTATACCGTTCAGGAGTAGTAGAAAATTACATACCATCACATATAGTAGAAAAATCTCAACTACGTAGAACTGAAAAAATAAAGGCGGATGCTTTAACAATAGAGGCAGCATACCATGGGACTACTCCCAAGCATTATAATACTCATGCTAATATCATCAAATCCATAACAGACGCTTCATATTATTTTCACGAAAGCACACCTGGTTATTTAGCCAAAAGAAAACAGATTCATGACTCCGGTCTCAGTATTGATATGTTAGATAAAAAGCATAATAAAGCTATTAAAAATCATAATCTCCATACTCAAGGAGCTGTACGTTTCCCTACGCATCCATATGTTGATGTATCAGATGATACAGCAGAGGTCGAATATCAGCCTAACAAACGTGACGATATTAATAACGAGAATCATTATTTCTCATTTCAGGATCATAAAATGAAATGACTCCGTCCTACACCAGATACTACCGATGACTCCCTGGTACCAGGACTTCATGTTTTAAGACCGTTTAATTAATTATATATATATATATTAGTATTCTTTTATTTGGAGTACGACACTTTTACCTAGTAGTTTAATCTACATTTTCTGTTCGTTTTTCGTTATCATATGTATAACACAACTTAAAATAGTGTGAAACATTCCACCTCTTACAGTATTCACAGGTGGCAACCTTGGTTGAAAGGAAAATACGGATCTTAATTTTTTATATTTTGATTGATACTGTAGATAAAGTCAGACTATATTAGCCGCCCTTTAACTTTCTTTTTTTAGATAGCCGCTAGTCTCTCGGATGGTTTTTTATGGTTCCCATTTGATTTTTTAGCGTAGTCTTACTTTATCAAATAGTACAGATCGAAGAGTGGGGTCCTGTAGGGGATGACGAACAAAGGTCTATACACATATATTAGTTTTAAGTATTTTCAAACTCTTTTTTCTTCTATTTGTAATAGCCTGGGTTTTAACACTCTTTTAGTAATAAAATAAATAAAATAAATAAATAAATAAACTTTTTTTTTTTAACTTTTTTTTTAACTTTTTTTTAATAAAACTTTCTCTTTCGTTTTTCCTTTCTCCTCTCTTTCTTCCTCTCTTTCATTCTTCCCTTTTCATTAACTAGAAACATCAAAATTCCAAGAAAATTATTTCCCAAGAAGAAAAAAAATAAAAGCTTACCAAGAATATGGAAAACACAAGCTTTCCAAACTGGAGACGGCCAGGTGGGTGTTTATTTTTCTTTTTTTTTCTATTTCTTTACTGTTAAAATTGTTAACATCATTTTTTTTTTAGGTTTTATTTTTATTTCATAAAAGTGGAGGTAGCACTTTTTTTTTATTATTTTGTTGTATTTTTTTGTTCATGTGTTAATTTTTCTTTTTTTTTTAGATTTTTTCTTTGTTTTAGCCTTCGGACATGTTAGATTTTGGTAAGAAGAGGAGTTTTTTTTAATATATCTCTTTTAATAAAATGTTTCAGTTTCTAACATTTCATTCATTCATTTTTTTAGATGGAACAGAGCATGGAACTCAGAATTCAGCAATTTTTGATCTGGGGATTTGTTTTCTGTGGGTTTTTAATGGACTTTTTATTATCATTTTTTAACGAAATTTTACTTATATTTTGTTATTTTTTTTCTTTTTTTTAGAAGACCGGCTCTTCTGATTTTTAGACGTTTGGAATTTTGCATGTGGGTTTTTTCTTTAAGTCTTTATATTAATGAAATATTTATTAACTAAAATTTTGTTCCTTTCTTTTTTGGGGCGTTTTATAGGAAGAATACAGCTTCGAACTCTGAAGAAACCTAATATTCTGGTACTTAGGTTATTATCATGTCAATAACTTCTTATTTTTATAAAAGTTTAATTATTTGTTTTCTACTTTAAAATATATTAAACATATGTAATACAAATAGATTAAAACTGCGTGACACAAATATAAAATTTGTTAATACGTACATGTACAAATTTATATTCAAAATAGCTCATAATTGGAATATATTTAATATAACTACATATAAAAAAGTGGCTCATATACAGATTTATTTGGCACAAATTTAGATATAAAAATGGTATAAATCTATATACAAAAATAGATTAAAGCTGGACTACAACTTGAATAAGCTTAAAATAAATACAGTACAAATTTTGTGCCAAATGGGCTCACGATATAGTGCATAACTTATGGATATAAATTTGGTACAAATTGATGTGAAAACTTTTTATTGGGTATATGTAACTTCCACATATATTTAATATACTAATAATTGAAAGATCCAATTTTTTGGCAATTTTAAAAATAAAAAAACCAAAAGTCAATATTTTTTCAATAAACCAATTTTTTAAATGCCAAATACTAACATTAAATAAATAGTATATTTATTATCTACAAAGATATTATATAATGAATTGGATAATTAAATAATTTATTTATATATTCTTAATGTAATATATATATATTATATTAAAGTAAACTTCTATAAATAGCATGTGATGTATTATTTTATAACAATTAGAATAATAAATTAAATTATTAATTAATTATATCAATTATAAATTTTTGTAAATTTTCTTTATAAAATTTTCGTATAATATTTATAAGAAATAATTTATTTATCGCACGTGCGATGCAAATTTTTATGTTTATCATTGCCATTTTAAGGGGGTGGCGATGTATAAGCAGGTTGATCAACATAAATAATTTACAAAAAAGGAAAGTGGCGATGCATCGCACGTGCGATGAATAAATTTACTCTATTTATAAAACACAATGTTCATATAACTTTTATATATTAAATAAATAATAAAACAATATCTAGTATTCTGATTTAAAAAAAAACAAATGTCTATTATCTGATTAAATATTTACATTAAATTGCTGAAAGCTAAACTGCTTTAGCTTGAAATCAAGTAATTACAAATAGAAAGATAAAATATATATAGCTTGTTGGATTGTTTTTTTGAGATATTTTAAATGTATACCTTTAGGATTAATAAATAAATAATAAAATATTAACATTTTCTTGAAATAATTTTTTATATTTTTAAATATTTATAAATGCTAATAACTTTTATTTATTGATAATAGAAATTCCACTATTTAGCATATTTTGATGAGACAAAGACAACAAAATATAATTTATTTATTTATGATTACTGAATAATTAGTTAAAATATTTACATTCATAATGCTGGCCAAATTTACAAAAACGGACATAAATGTCCGTTTTTATAATTCCGGCCAAATTTATGTCCGTTTTTATAATTCTGGCCAAATTTGCAAACGGACATAAATGTCCGTTTTATAATTCCGGCCAAATTTTGCTGGGCGAAATTATCTTAATTCTGGCCAAATTAATGTGTAACCTTGAAAAAATTTTTGCCTTTTTTATAGTTACAAGGTGGTACAAAATGTACATTAATGCAATCCTTGACCATGAGTTTATAAGTAAATATCCAGTCAAAAGTTATAAAATTGCCTTATTTGTAATTAAATGTTGGTAAGTTGTTTGGACCAATCAGATCTCGTGGGCTAATCTGGCCCATGGGCAGTTTATAAGCTAAGATGTAGTGCACGCCCACTTAGCTTAGAAACTATGCCGATCATTTGGCTGGGGTGAATAATTTATGAATAATTTATGATGTATGATAAGAGAAGTTTAATAAAAGCGAACAAATAGTTACTATTTGTGACTAACTACTGCGTATATCATTTTATTTGTATTACTAATTGCGCCTAATTATTAAAAGATGACACACAATTTATTATTGACAGTTTGTGCGACAATATCGTCATCAGTCATCACTCCGAAAAATTATATATAAATTTGCTCAGTTTGGTCTTATAATTCTTATAATAAAACGATACACCCTTATTCTTCTTTTCGTTCTTATAATAAAACGATACACCCTTATTCTTCTTTTCGTTTACAAATATGTCATGTTCAAAAATATTTTCAGGAGATTTACCTGAACTAATATATGAAATCATTGAATATTTTCAGAATGATTATTCAACCTTACATTCATGTATTTTAGTTAATAAACTATGGTGTCGCTCAGCAATTCCATTATTATGGGAAAATCCATTTTCAATTCCTACCGGAAATTACAATTTTATTGAAATTTACTTACATTATTTAAATGATGATTTAAAATCAAAATTAAATGAATATAAAATTATTGGTCCTTTATTAACTACAAATACACTTTTCAATTATCCTAGTTTTATAAGATATTTAAATATAAGAAAAATTAACTCTTCTATTGAGATGTGGTTAAAAGCCGATGATATAAACTTAAATATGGATTTAGTATTTGAATTTATAAATTTCATTAATATGTCATTAATTAAATTGTTTATTGAAAATGAAGTAAATTTACATACCCTTGAACTTGAAATTTATTATAACCCATGTATTGAAGATATTCTTGATATTATTTTACAAAATCCAAATTTCATTAGTAATAATATTAGAAATTTAAAATTAAGTTCTAATGAGAGTGATGATTCACTAATTAAATATCGTGTAAAAAAAATAATTAATTCAAATCAAAATCTCAAAAAAAGTATCCTTCAGTACTATTTCCCTTTCTAAATATCAATCATTATTATTATCAAAAGAATCTAATTGTTCAAATACCTTAAATACAATCACTCTATCTCATATCAATTTCAGAGGTATGAATAATTTAGTTGAAGTATTTGAAAGATTAAATGTTTTAGAATCTGTTCATATCATTTATTGTTATTCTTTAGATGGTTTTATTCAACAAATTATTAAATTAACCAAACCATTTAAACTAAAATCTTTATTTTTAAGAATCATGGGATTACAAATTGAATCATTAGAATTATTATTACAAAAATCTGGTAATTATTTAGAAAATTTTGGTTACTACAATGATTTATCATCAGATCAACAATTACTTCAATTAATTAATTATTGTAAAAATATCAGATCATTTTATTTAGATAGCAGAATTAAAGACGACATTATTTCTTTAATATTCAGTTTAATTGAAAATATTAAACAAAATCTTAATTATCTTTCAATCAATTTAAGTAATTATGAAGATAATGAATATAGTAATATCAAGTCAATATTACAAAATTTAGGACAAACACTTCCTTCTAAACTTGAATATTTAAGTTTGGTTCTTCGCATTAAAGAAAATGATATTGAAATATTCTTAAAAAATTCTCAAGATAATTTCTTTAATAAATTGGTAATTGAAAATAAAAAACAGGAAGATGATAATTATATTGATATTTTACCTTATATAAAAGAATATGTTATGAAGAAGAGAAGAGTTAAATATTTGGCTATTAAGAATACTTTAATTCGGGGATGTGTTAAGAGAGAAGTGGATTTGTTTGATTTAAAAGACGAAGTGAAGGAATTTAAGTTACATAATATTAAAGTACTTAGTTATATTAGATTGTCTATTGATATTTATAGATTTTTTAATGAAATTGATGAATTATTTAATTGTTATAAATATTAGATAGAAATATTTTCTAAATTATATAACTTATCCTAGCTATATTCATTTATTTGTAATTATTTTATAGTTAAACAATTGTTAATCGTTTAAAGAAAGTTTTTAAATAAATATTGAAAATAATAATTAAGGTAAGGATATAAAACCGTAAATCCAAGTAAAATTATTTTCGGTATTGAAAAAAAACCGAATTGAAAAAAATCTATTTTTCGGTATTAAATAAAAAAAAAGAAATTCATTTTCGAAAACTAAAAATAAAAAAAGCGATTAAAAAAAATTATTTTTCAGTATTGAAAAAAGACAAAAATAATAAAAATATAAAAATATAATTAAAAAATTTGTTATATTTGAAAAAAAATAAAAATATTAATAATACAAAAAAAAAATATTAATAATAAAGAAAAATCGGTTTTGAAAAAAAAAATTGAAAAAAAAAATTTGAAAAATAAAAATCTCAGTTTAAACAACTGAAAATAATTTCAATTGACCTTTTTCATTAGCAGTTAGTATTATTAAATTAAAAATTTCATCACATGACCCCAATAGAATAATAATATAATATTTGGTGATTATCGAAAAAACTAATGCAAATTAAATACAATAGTAACTTTGAAGAAATATTTTATAAGGATTAATGTAGTTTTTTCAAAATTTTCCTTTTTTAATTATGTTTGGTTTAGAGTAGTACTATTTACACTTAATGAGTTTGTTTTCTTTGGTTTAAATTATAACTAATATAAAATTTTAGATTAGTTTAGACTAGCAGACTAGCAAAGTTTTTTAGTCGTTCATTTAGCGTAGTTACTTTATCGTTATTATTCGATCACTGATCCAAACCTAAATGGTGAAAGAATGTATACAGGAAAAAAAATTCGGTTTGAAAGAAAAAATGCCAAACAGAAAAAGGAAAAGGGAAAAAAAATTTCGGATTGGAAAAAAAGCCAACCGGAAAAAAAAAAGTAAAAAAAATCCGAAAAAATAAAAACGAAAAAAAATTTGTGGTGAGGGACAAAGAGAAAAATCGGGTTGAAAAAGAAACTGAAAAGGAAAAATAAAGAAAAAATAAAAAAATTTCGAAAGAAAAAAAAAAAAAAAAATTT